CCCACGTCGGGTTCTGTGGTGACAGCTTGGAGCCTGGGGCCTGCTTCAGATTCTGTGTCTCCCTCTCTCTCTGCCCCTCCCCTGCTCACATTCTGTCTCTCTCTCTGTCTCTTAAAAATAAATAAGCATTTAAAAAATTTTTTAAAAATTAAACATAGTTGCCATGTGACGCAGAAACTCCACCGCCAGGTGGAATGTCTGCCCCAAAGGACCGAAGACCGGCATCCAAATGGAAACTTGTACAAGAACAGTCACAGCAGTAGCCAGACGCTGGAGGCAGCCCAGATGCCCATCAGCTGACCAGCGGATAAACACTGTGTGGGTCCACGCAGGGGGGCGCTATCCAGCCATAGAAAGGAACAGAGTGCTCACCCCGCCATGACGCGGTGAAACACGATGCCCAGTGGAGCAAGTCAGACCGTTGCTACGAAATACCCAAGATTGGCAAACCCAGAGAGACAGAAAGCTGATGGGTGGTTGTCTGGGAGTGGGGGGTAACCGCTCGTGGGCGCAATTGCCTTTGGGGGTGATGACAGTGTTTTCCAACAAGGTAGAGGTGGTGGTTGTACGTCACCTTGAACGTGCTACATGCCACCGTGTTACGTATGCTTTATTTTTTAAAGATTTTATTACCTTTAAGTAATCTCTGTAGCCAACGTGGGGCTTGAACTCACGACCCTGACGTCAAGAGTCACGTGCTCTACCGACTGAGCCACCCAGGCGCCCGTATATACACTTTAAAGTGGTTAGTTTTCTGTTACGTTACTTTTACCTTAGCAGAAGAAAAAGACAAATCTCAGAGGGGCCTGGCATATTAGAGCGCCACCCTGGGCCTTTCCCTGGGGCCTTAGTCACAGCTGGGAAGGAGCAGCTGTCCCCAGGAACTGGGGTGGGGGACTCAGAGCCTGGATATGGGACGCAAGCCTTGGCACGGCCGGGTGGCCGAGCAGGACCGCCAGCGTGGGCGCGCCTTGGGCCGGCTTCCCGTGCACCTGCTGGTGCTGGGGCAGAAGGGCGAGGCTGCCGGAGTCCAGGAGCCCTGCCCCCACCTGACATGCTGTTAGGTTCATGTCTCTTAGTTTGGTTTCCATTCTGAGGGGTGGATTTTTTAAATAAATTTCGTTTTTAATTATGTAAGATCTCCACTTGGTTCCAAAGCCAGAATGCACTGAGACGTCCCACTCAATGAGCAAATAGTCAGTGTTTCAATTTCCCCACCATTCCTCACACGCAAGGAGACACATCGTACTTTGTGTCTTGCACCTCTTCTCACCAGCCGTGGACCACCGTCCACCCCCCACAGCCGTGTCCAACCCCCTGTGGAGGTCGCCTGCGTTACCCGACCAGCCTTCTGTCCGTGGACGTTTGCGGTCTTCCCAGGCTTTCGATGCTGTACAAGCGCCACAGTGAATCTTTTCCCTGATACAGTAGGATCATAAATTAGCAACAGACACGTCCTAGATTAAAATGGGAGATTTTAATCTCCCAGATTAAAATGAAACCCAGATTAAAATGGGAGAACCTCTGTTTTGACGACACGTATGAATATGGGGTTTTATCTTTGTCCAGAATGCTTTCACGGCTGTGAGATCATTTACTCTCACAAGACCCCGGTGAAGCGTCATAGGCATTCAACTTAGTTAGCAAAGCCGGAATTCAAGATGAGGTTTCCTTTTGGGAATTCATGTTTTGTTTAAGTATTTGTAAAAACCCTCTATTCACACATGTTGTTTGGTCAGCATCTCTGGTAAGCCAAAGTTAAGACTTAAATTGGATATTTGTTAAGTAATGGAAATGAAAATCCGACCCTTGAAATAACTTGTTGTTTTTAACATACAGCAGTTTTAAATTTTGTGTTTGTAATCTGGAGGCACCTGGGTGGCTCAGTAGGTTAAGTGTCCGACTCTTGATCTCGACTAAGGTCACGATCTTGTGGTTCACGAGGTCGAGCCCCACATCAGACTCTGTGCTGACGATGCTGAACCTGCCTGGGAATGTCTCTCCCCCTCTCTGCCCCTCCCCTGCTCACTCACTTTCTCTGAAAAATAGACATTAAAAAAAATTGTGTCTTTGTAATTTGTTATGTTTAAATGAGTAAACTAGTCTCCGGGTCGTCTGGCTCACCGTTGTCAAGTCCTGGATCTCCCAGCACAGTCGATCCCCTGTTAGAACCTAAAGACCAGCTTCCCTGATTCTGGAGCTATAGGAGGGGCTTACGAGTGCCCAGACAGGATTTCAAACTAAAAAGCCACTCACCCCAAGTGAAGATTTGTGTTTTTCTTCCTCCACCCACCTTCATACCTCCTTTGTCCTTTCTCACACCCCAGCCCCAGGGAACCCCCTCCATGCTCTCACCTCCACCTCAGGAAGTACCTCCAGTGGAAGGGTGTGGGTCACGTTGCTGGCAGAGAAACAGGTGTGACCAGTCAACCTGGAATACTGATCTTGTGTTGAAAGAGCTGAGTCCGTTCTCTGGAGATCTTGACTTAGCCGATTGAGGCGGATGGGGCCAGCCGATGTCCGCCGACGGGGACCGCCAGAGCGTGGGCAGGCAGGGGTGCAGGAGGCTGGGTCTGGGTCTGATGATGCCAACAGAAGCTTTGAAGCAGTGGTGAGCCCGCTACATGGGATTCTCGTGCGGCCGGTGTGGGTGATGGGTGCTCCCAGGGAAGACGGTGCAGAAGACAGTCCATCTGCTGAAAATGATCCTTCTCTTTGCGAGGGTGACGTGCCCAGGCCTGCGCACTTTTCCGGCCACATCCGCCTGTCTGCGGC